TATTCTTCAAATAAATATACGACTCTTCATTGCCTGGAGCAAATCCATGCTGACTTGCTTGCTCCCTCAGCGTGGAGCTCAAAATGGCTAATGGAATTCTCTCCGTCTAAATGTCGCTGTATGTGTTTTGGATCTGATAGGCTACCCCAACCAGTGGTCTTTCAAGGCCAACGTATGACTTAATGTACCATTATCAAGGATTTGGGTTTGGGCTACACCAATAATCTTTATATCTCCCCACACGCTGACAGAATGACAGCCAAAGCTGCCCAGATTTGTGGCCTTATTTCTTACAATTTCTATCTTGCCGAAATTAAAGTAAGACTTAATCGTATGTTTGTACTTCCCATTTTCGAGTATTGTTGTCCATTCTCTGGTTTGATAAACGAGGCTATTCGTTTGAAAATTGAAAATGTTCAAAGACATTTTACTAGAAAACTTTTAGGTACGGAACATCCAAATATCTCCTACACAGATAGATACCAGCTAACTAAAGTAAAATGTTTATGGGTTCGAAGACTAGAGGCAGGCTTCTTTCTCCTCTTTCGCATTTATAATGGTTCAAATCTTCCTCGTCTTTTAGCACTTACACCTAGTAATTGTCTAAACAATCTTTGCAATTCTTCCTTGATTATGCCTCCTCTCGCGTTCCCTTTTTTGCGTCCATGCATACTTTCCTCTGAAATAACCTTACAATAAATATAGGATCTTTAGATAATCTAGACGCTTTTAAGGGAAGGTTGCGCCTTTATCTGAATACTGACTCTATTAAACTCTTATTTTCCTCATCCTTCCCGGACAACTTTCTCCATAGCACCGAGAAAGGGCCACCAGGAATTAAGAATGTCGCCACTAAATTGCCGTGTCCGCCCACATTTCTGTTTTTGGGTGTAGTATCGCTTCCTAGGATCCCTCATCGGAAATGTTAACCTCTTCCATTTTTCAGTTCATGCATCGTACTCCTCACAGAATACGATAGCCTTCCTGACAAATTCTGCCAAAGAAATAGATTGGCCAGGTTGGCGCATACGTTCTAAGCCGCCTGAGTCTCGCTGATCGTCGACACTCATGAGAATTGCACTCTGGTCCCCACGATTTCGGACTTCCTACACCCCAACCGTTGTATTTTGCGGTTCTTGAGGTCGTCTCCTCATTTCGACGCCAAGCGGTCTGTTGACGCTCTTGACGGCACTCACTGTATCCGGTATCTTCTTATAATTTGATGTCATCTCCCTTGCCCCTTTTCGGCTGCACTCGAAATGGACTGCGACCGTTCTCGTCTACGTTCTTCTCTTCTCGCCTGTTTCTCGTGGATATCCTCTTCCAGCATGTGAATTCTGAACTGATAATGTCTTTTTAGGACCTTTTTCGCAATAGCGCATACAGTCCATTCCTGTCTGACCCGCATACTTACCCCTTCAATAAATCCTTTATATACTGCCGCATGCAGGCTAGTCCTGCCCGCGTTTTATCCTTTCAGTATAATTCAGTATATATGAGGGATAGAGGCAGAGCCTTGGGAAACCCTATTTACAGATAGACGTATGAAAAAAAACATGCAGATATTTACATAGCAGTCATTGCTATCATTTAAATGTTTGACCATCAAGCATAAGTTTATCTAGTCTTCTTTTGAAGGTCTCGACGTTTTCCGCTAAGACAACGGAGTTCGGAAATTTGTTCCATCCCTCAACCAGTGAGAGAAGAATTTGGCCAGCAAATCGAGTCTGGCATGTTTCGTCTTCAATTTGTATGTGTGCCCTCGGAGATTTGTTGTCCGCGCCAGTTCGAAGAAGTCGTCAAACTAAAGAGCACAGTTTAGCCCTCGGGCGATCCTGAAGGCCATGATCATGTCCCCTCTGTACTGTCTATAAGAGAGAGGAAATATTTTTAGCTTCTCCAGCCGTCTCTGATAAGGCAAGGTACTTAATCCGCCGACTAGCCTGATCGCTCTACGTTGTACGTTCTCCAGTAGGGTGTGATCTTTATTCGTCCAGCGACAGTTATTTTCTCCCATTATTTTTATCTAGTCAAATTAATTTTGTCGACTTTATAAGAGGCTTTTCACTGCTCGCTCATCATCCTTCGTTACGGACTACTGATTCAACATCTATTTATCAAATATCGTATAAATTCTGTCTATCTGTTCTACAATTCATGCAAAATTTCATAATTGCTATGCCCGGACCTCCACGGGTCTTGAATGAAGATTAATTTTTTATGTTTTTTATAAACCACCTGCTCTATAAACTCACCGCGAGCGTGACGTTGCTGGTAACCTTGGAATGCGTTCACGTATTTACATGTCTGTTAAAAGCCCGTGTATGCCTATGGCATATTACTGCTCCCTGGCTGAAAAGAAGCGTAGAGCCCTGCTTGTTTGTACGCAACCCATTGCTTCGTATGTCCATTACTTCTGCCATCGACGACATTCAGAAATCCTGCACGTTCGAGCGTCTACCTTAGTGGTAGTACATTCTCAGTATGAAAATTTTGCCGACAAACGGCCCCAAAATCCTGCGAGATTTTACAAAAGATCATCCTTTGTCTTCATAGGACAACAGCAATATTTTTATAACTGGAAGCACGGAGGCATTATCCGTGCAAAGTAAACACCGATCTAAATGACAAGATCATTAAAATTTTTACGGACATAATCTCATGATGGATGATGAACTGCGCAAAAGATATCATATAAGGCAAGCAGTTTTTGGCGTCCACTGGGAATTTGCCAAGTAAATTCCAAATCTTAGGTTTCCAGACGTAAGAGCGAACTGTGGGTGAAGCGATGAAAAGGTACCTAAACTCAAAACGCAGTGAGAGTTCAGGCAACCTGCAATTCCAAATGACATAATCAAGAGGAAAAAATGCGTTCACGAAAAGACGGGTAGGGGCAGGACAAGTTCGTCCAAAGTGTAGTTAACAAGTATAAATACAGAACAGCTTGCGTGTTTGAAAAGTCACTATAAGTGCACGCCGGACTGCTGAGTCTTGACAGATTAATGTAGCAGGGTGATAGAACAGTCTTCTCTAACAAGCAGAATTTTTGATGATAAAATATCGACTGATAAATCATTGTAAAGGAGGATGTGTTTGGAAGCAAAGGGAAAAGAGTTTAGAGGCGGAGGAAGCAGGAAGATGATTAATCAAGGGAGAATTACGAATGTTGTGCAGACAACTAACAGGGATCAGGACTGGAATCTGCGGAAGATTTGGACTAAAATCAATGCGGAAAAGAAAACCAGATCCAGTCCCGTGTGTCCGAACTCATGTTAATATTATGCTAATTAGTCGGTATTTGTTCGAGTATTCATATATCTGATTAATTTCTAGTATAATATCTTTGGATGTTTTCGATTTATGAACAAGTAGATCCATTCAGTTATTCTTTAATAATGACACACATGTTTAAACAATGGAAGTCGAAGTTATTGACGGTGGAATGTTCGGCTATTGGGTTGCCTTGAGAAGCACCTGGTGGATAGGCAATCACAGCCAAAACCCACGCAGTGTTGTGCAATTTAAAAATGTTCATACACGAGTAAAGACGAGTTCACTCTGGCAATGGAATGTGAAAACATTAGCAGGAAAGTTGCGCAAACTCAAAAATGCCCCAGATAGGAAGTGTAGATTTTCCTTCCCGTTACCCTTTAAACAAATCAAACTAAAGTGAAACTTTTTCTGATTTTCTCCCCTTCACTATATGGTTTTCTATTTGCCCGGGTTCCCGTTAAACCTTTTCCGTTGTTCGGTTTTCGTCGAATAGGTTCGTGTATGTGTCTGGCCAATTCGGTGCAAAAATTTTGCACTTTTTCATCTTTTTCGAAAGTACAACAAAGTCTTTATTTCCTGATTATAGGCTTACTCTTAAAGATGCCTTTTTTTCGAGAAGAACAAACTGCTGTTCCCTGTCCTGCTTGTTTGAATCCGAGCTTGAAGACCCAAAATGCTCTACGTTTTGTAACTCTTGGCCACATCGGGCTAGTAGGACACACAACCCTGGGGATTGCCTTAGCAAAATAACGAAGATACAGGACTCTGTAGTTCCAGAATTATTCCTACGTTTTTACTGAAGCTTGTGATATCGTTCTGGAATTTAAAATCTATCCTCTAATTAAATCTGACCGGGTAGTGGCGCGTTTTTTGTTAGGGGACGCGAGCGGCCTTTATTGATGACCTCTGGAGAAGGGAAGATCGGAAGCCTAGCTTGCTCCCTTAACAATTTGACTCGAACTGGGATGATGATGCTAGGAAATGGCGTTGCCGAACAAAATTACCCAAAAGCATTGTTACTGTTGGAAATCCTACTCAACCACAGGGGCCCTCTCCCTATCCACGCACTATATGTGGCCTCTTTTGCCCATATGACTGGAATTCAGGATCCCTACGCATTTTCCGTACCGATCAGCAGTGCCTCCTTGGCCGAGTTTATCGAGTTCCTTCAGATGTTTCCCTCCCTGTTTGTCATTGCTGGAAATTATGTTTATCCGGCGGGCACTCTCGATGTTGATCAAAGTCCTGTTTGGGTTAGCTCGAAGTATACAGGCATTGATTCGTTCTGTCCGTGTCTGAACCCATCTATCCTTGATCCACCATCGCAAATATCGTTGCTGTCTGACCCTGTTCTTCGCCAAAACACAGTAGCGTTCTTGCAGAATTACCTGCTGTCATGCGGCCCGCATCGCTTTGTTCCAATTCAAAGACTGATAGATTGTCTTTCCTATGTCACACCTATTACCCGCGCCTTATTTCCTAACATAAAGTCCCTGTCTTCCTTTCTTCGGCAATACCCTGAAGTCTTTCATCTCAAGGATGGCTCAGTTGGTCTGGCAAAATTGAAGCGGAATTCACACCATAAACACCAGAATGAGGATAGAGGAAATTATGCCGGTGCCGCGCCCAACGACCAAGGTGTATTTCCCAACGGAATTTTAAAAGTTGAAGTCCTCCTCTCGTCATCGACCGATTTCACAAGTTCGACGTCTTGTATACTGCCAGCGTCGGAATTCTCAGTTATCCTTGTCCTTAGGCGAATCCTTCGACCCGCATTCAGCAAGGGTTTGCATGTAGCATTAGTGATCAAAGAATTAATTGCCTTTCCATATGATATGAAAAAAATAATTGGTCTGACGCGATTCGAGTTGCATGCGTTTCTCGACAAATACAAGCAATTTTTCGATATTCTCTGTCCATCCACTGAGGATCAGCTCACCGGCGAAGTGGAGCCAGAAGGTGGGAGACCGCAACATCGCACACCCACTAGCTTTTACGTACGAATAAACGCGAATGCGTGGAACATGCAGTCTCGTCTTCTTGACACTCGTCCTGAGTTACCGAATGGCAAAGATCCTTCGCGTCTAAGTCAACATGTTGGCCGCGTTTTCCGCGTTGCGAAGTCCTGGGGAATCATTGACCTCGGGAACCACGTACATGTGTTCTTCGACAAGTCAATATTTCGCAATGTGTTCGATTTGCAAAAAGTTTTCCAGGTATGTCAGTTTGCAAAGCTATTTACCTGGAAAGCCCTTTTTATTGTTTTCTTGGTCGCGGATTGCACGTAAAAAATTTTCACTCCCTCAATTTAGTCTTGCTGACCTAGATAATCAGTTGTCCACTAAGCGATTGCAAACTGTTGGACTGATTTTTTGTTCTTCAGCCTATTCTCCCAAGATAAGTAACAAAGCCGTAAGTCCAAATCCAGTTCAGTGTCTGATCTAACCCTCCAGGAATTTAATTGCGACTTGAAGTTTTCATTAACTTTGGTTTTCGTCGTAACACCTGTCTCGCAGTCTCGATCGAGAAGTAGCTGATAATAGCGGAGGCATGTATAGTGCATAACACGGTAAACGTTGAGCTTTGCTTAATTTATTTGTTCGTCTGAAATTCTGACACGTGCCAGGCAGCCCTCAGCTTCCGCTTGACTCATTAACCTGAAGGGTATGGAACTGTGGCAAGAATCGGAGGAGCTTTCGTTGAGGATCCATCTAATCATTTTTGCCTTTGCAAATACCCCAAGCATCAGAGGTCACCATATCCTCACTTAAAGTAACACTCGATCAATGGAAGTTTTCTCAGGCTAACCATTCGCACCTCGCTAATGCTGAATTTTACTTAGTTCATTTCTATCCGGTCAACTAACACTGCTAACGTCTGCAAAAATGTTTACGAGTTTCCACATGCAATTCCCGGGTGGATAGAAATTCTCCGCCGGTTTTACTGATTCACAAGACAATGCCATTCTGCGCCCCCCATGGAATACACGTGTAGTGGTCTCAGTCAGAGAGGCGTCAGTTTGATTTACTGCTCTATCTGGCACCTTTGAGGATACACAAACGAGGGTAAACTTGTGCAGCCTTTTCTCGGACAGTCACTGAGTAGTTGTTTACCATTTGACGTATTCTGGAAGGACATTATTATTATTATCGTCGACTTCTGGACAGTTTTGCCTCACTTGACAAATACCCCATGAAGGTCTTAGAGGCCTATAACGTTCTCGACACTTCTAAGCTTTGTTTAAGTAATTGATTCTCGCGAGCGTAAGGCATGTGGAGAGCGAGTAATTCCTTTTTATCTTTGCTGACACGCAGGCGGAATGCGGCTGTTTTTTTTTGCGTCATTGTGGCAAAAGGGCTGGAGTTAGACAAGACCCCGTAGGCGCTCAACCTCTTACGCCTCCCAAGAGCGTGCCTTCTCGACAGTAGATAGCCTGAACCACAAGCACAAGAACAGATTTATTTTCGCTGTCGCCGTCCGCAGCAGGTATCGCGCGACAGTAGGATTACACTGACCCGCGGTGCGCAGACAAGCGTGCGATCTATCGGGTTCTGGGTATAGCCATTGAGTGCCTGGTGAGTGCATGCCTCACGCGACGCTGGAAACAGGGGGGATCGTGACAACGAGTGTTTCAGCACTCTCCAAACGGGCTTTCACCGCATTGTGACCAAGGGATCTCCTCTGAATGCATCTCAGTCTTCTGTCTTGACAGTACTATAACTGCGACCACAAGGTTACTTATTCGGGCACATCTGCCCATCACTGGGAGTTCCTCAGTGATGGCCTCTTTTTGCGCGTGGTGTTTGACAATAGGGCCGTCGATAACAACACTGCGAAGGCGCACAAGCACGACCTTCGACGATGCCCATTCTCAGAACCGGCGAAATTCAGCCTGGCCGCATTTGCCAATGACACCACTCTAGTAGGACTAAACGCATTCATCATCAACTAGCACCCTGACGCTTCGAGAACCATAACCTAACCAGCGCACCCCAGGGACAGTCATTGTCTCCTTTTTCTCCCGTTAATTCACATAGACTCGACGTTGCCGGTGCTGGGGGAATTTAATTCCAGCATGCCCATTTCCTTCCTGCTTGCAGAGCGGCCAATTTTCATGCACATCATCTGGTCCATTTGCAGAGGCCAGGACGCATGCGGTCCGACGGACACCCTGACAGGAGTCGTGATGAGAGGAGTTGCATGCCATTGGAATTCAGGAGTCTGATGCATATTTAGTTCCTTCGTTTTCAAGTCCCCCTCTGTGTGATAGTCAAGTATGTAAGAAAGAACATTTTCCGTTGCGGTTCAGGTTTGCCACGTCGCACTCTCGTCACCGGCGCCTGCGGCACATTGAGGGGTGGTCGGTTTTGTCAAACCCCAATCCCGCTAGCAATATCACGGTTGGTCTGCGGCTGCCTGTTTATTTCGCAGCCAAATCTCACTGAAGTATGTTACACTATTCGATTCTCATGGATGCGCTAAGTAACCAGTAGTTAAAATAACAGGCAGACTACAACATCGACAAACTCGCCGGGTCGTTCTCAATTGCGCTAACAGGTACGACTCCACTATATGAAGTCTGATCTTCAGAATATCATCTTTGATTTTCTTAACCAGGTCATTTCATAAACTCCTGCTGTCCGCTGATAGCGCCGGGAATCAGTAGGTGGCAACTCCCCGGCCTTTCTATGGGTGGTAACGCAATTTCACTACTTTGCCAATGACTAAGGTCTGCGATGCCGGATATACTCTTTCTTCTTGCATTCCATTTGTCCTGAGTCAATCAAAAATTTGCCTACAAACTGGTCGACGAGTCTCTCAGGATAACCAGGTCTGTAGTTCTTCCTTGTTCTTCTCTTTCCAAAGTGTCTTAAGGTATTGGTTTCTTTTTATTTCGGCGTCTAAATCGAATACGTGCTGGCCCCTTCAATGGGCACGAAAGACCTCGTTTCGCACCTCGTACTCCCTGCTAAAACCGGCATGGAAGTTCTCGATAGCCTTGCTCGCATCTTATTTATTATTTTTGCTTTCTCTCCATTCATGTTTCCGTCCCGAGTACTTAGTTACCGTTCGGGCTGTTACGACGCCCTGCAAGGGCTTCCACAAAAGCGGGATGTATTTATTCATGCTGTGGCAAATAAATGTCTTTTAGCTCTGTTCTGGGGCTTCCCCGGATTTCGCCATCATCTTTCCAGCCTTCCATTTGTAACTAACACGGCGCTTCTGCACTACTGTATCAGGACTATGCATTACCCAGATCTTGTCCTCACTTCATTTGTTTCTAGTTCCTGTATTTAACTACCTCTCGCACTTGAACTACTCTGTTTATTATTTTTGCGAGTTTTTCTGTCTTTAAGAGGGCCTTGCGCTGTCCAATAAGTCAGCCAGTACATAAGTAGAGCACTTCATCGCCACTGTTCTGGCGACCAACCGCATTATTACAGCGCATGCAACCGTGACGCGTGTCTACCATTTGCGCGTTTTCCGCCCAATCACGTCACACGGACTGCCATGTAGCTGACCGATTCGAATTTTCTAATTGGGCTCTGCAGACGCTTGTACGCACCGCTTATGCAACCTTTACTCCTTGCCAATACCTGGCAAGATTTAGGTTAACACATTAATTGCCTAAGCAGTGGTTTATTTTCCTTGCCTTAAGGCGTCACATTTGTTTGAGAAGCATTCCTTTGGCGGCACTGAGTGACGGAATATGCCATTAGTTGGGAAGCCGGCTTGAAGCACCAACTGTCTAACTCGGGCTAACGTACCCAGTTCCACAAAGTGCCGCCGAGGCTGGATCCAGACGGAGGATGAACGGAGTGGTCAGGGATTAACATTATGGGTTCTAGTGATAGCAGAGGCTAGTAAGTCGCTTCATCATGGGCTTATGGCTGCACCGTAATTACGGTACCAATCGGCTTGTACGTCTGCGGACTGCCCACAGTTCCAATGCAACCAACCAGCTGCAGTTCGACCCTCGTGACCGACGATGTCCACCCTGTGTTCCACAGCGAGGTGAGAACAGGCACGGTGACTTGTGCACGAATTAACTTATAGGGGTAGTAGACCTGCACAGCATCTTCCGCACTTTCTCCTCCCCCGCCTGAGCCCGTGTCAAGGCACAGTCAAGACGACCGAAAGCGGGAGAGGGCGCAGGTGGCTGGCGCGGTCAGACCCGCGCCTAGGCGCACCACCACACCCTCTGGTCCGCACAAACGCCTAACCAGGATTTCGGCCAACAATAACATTGAGGTGCGGAGGGCGACAAGGCTTCTAATTTCCGGCAGCTTGGCCTGCCAAAAAACCACATTTGTTACGGTGCGCATTCCCAATATCGTCAGCCAGAATCCAATATGGCGCCCACGTTGGTCCAGCGTGGTCCGTTTTGAAACATTCACAACAAACAACTCACCTGGTGTCGTCTATATACGGGCGACACAAGAAATAACTATGTTACATGGTTGTTTCTGGCAGAGAACATAATTTTTGGCCAGGCCGTCTATTTGAAATGGGCGAATAAAGATAACTTTCAGGTACGGACTGATTGGACAGCGCTCATTAAGTAAGTACAGTAGCCAGAATAGCCACTCTGGTGGAAGGGAATGAAGGACACCCAGCGGCACACACACATACACACACCACAGTTCGACCGTCGCAGCCGACGATGTGCACCGTGTGCTCCAGAGCAGGGTGAGAGGGCCGTGAGGTGGATGCACTGGACTAAGACACAGTCAAGACGACCGAAAGCGGTAGAGGGCGCAGGTGGCTGGCGCGGTCAGACCTGCGCCCAGGCGTACCACCACACCCTCTGGTCCACAACAAACACTTGGCCAGGATTTTAACCATTAACAAAAATAGGTCAGATGACGCACACAAGTCACTGGGCAACCATGCACGAGCTGCCTACCCAGGGGGAGTGCAAAAGAATCTACCGGCAGGGAACCAGGTGCCAGTGAACTGCCAGCGCATCCCAGGCTGCGAGGCCCGTGGGTTGCAGAATAATGGCATAACCAAACATCTACACAACAAATCCCTAACGCCATTGAAGATGCACATCCTGTAACATAACTCTAAGTTTCCGTCCCCTCCTAGTCGGTCCCGGAAAATGGGAGCGTCTCCAGGACGCCAGGGACACTTGCAATGACCACATGGTGTCTATTTGTTCCCACTGTGGCCCGTCCTCCCTGCCCACATTTAGTCCTCGCGTGGATTTATTTGGTCCTAAACACATACTCAAAGACATCACCTATCCGCAATTACCTATGCCTCATCCATCAACCGTGAGATGCCCTTTACCAATATCTTCTCTGACGAATGGTGCATTCCGTGCATAAGTGTGACGCGCGGAAGACGAGGGCGCCCAATCTCATCATGCTCGGATAGACTGCTGCTACGTAGGAGAGGAAAGAAAGTGGGACCGATACTATGCTATCATTATACTAGATCTGATGTACTGGGAAATACTACGACGTACTTAAAATGTGTGGCTTGCGAGATTGTCAACTGGCTGTCTGACTAGCTCGGTCCATTTCAGTACTGAGGGTCGGGCCGCAATACTCTTTCTTAGAGTGGTCTTCATGACTTTCCTCACTTCTGTGATATCCAAGCCCTCGTGTAACAAGAGTTAGATGTGTGAAGTGTTAAGTGCTATAGTAGGTGGGCTAACTCATTAAATGTCAACCGAAATTCGGAAATGCGTTTTCGTCTCGAAAAGGTTACTTAAGCAGTGTTTTAAAATTAATCATAATGCAGCATAATTCTATAATATTCCAGTTACCTCAGGATGCCAACTTTCGTATGAACTTCCTTCCTGTTGCATGAAAAAACTACATTCCGTAAAAATGACTACTTAAATGACATGAGTTTTTCGCCTTGATTTTCGATGCCTCTAAAAGTCCAATCATATTTCATGGAAAACATGCATAAAAATATTCATCCTTTTATTCATTCGGTAGGAAATCACGTCTTCTAATGTTATCCTTGAAGGAGGGACATAATTCCGTTTTAAAAAAATTTTCCAATACCCCAATAATTTTGAACCCGTTCTACCGTCACACTTAGATTCAGGGTTTCCAAACTACAAGCCGTGTATTTTCCGCGTATGGAAAGTCACACATTTCTCTACGGTAATAAAGGGGGACCATATAGGATTCATCAAATTAAGCAGTGGATTTGAACCATATTGTTAACTTTACAAGCCACATTGGTAAATGCAGAGATATGACGATTTATTAACGGCCATTTCACAGTATTTAAAAGTACCACAATTAGAAACATTTTTAAAAGAGAATTATTTCCCTCCCTCAAGCATAAAATTAGAAGAAGACGTAATTTTCTACCGAATGAGCAAAAGAATGAATATTTTGATGCATTTTTTCCATGAAATATAATTGGACCTTTAGGGGCGTCGAAGATCAATAAGAAAATACATGCTACTTAAGTAGTCATTTTTTACAGAGTGTAGTTTATGCATGCAGCTGGAAGGAAGTTCATTCGAAAGCCGGCTTCCTGAGGTAACCGCATTATTATAGAATTGTACTGCAGACTGATCAATTGTACAACCTCACTTAATTAATCTTTTCGAAACGAAAACGCATTTCGGAATTTCGGTTGACATTTCATGAGTTAGCCCACTTTCTGTAGGAGCGCATCTGCCTATGCTGCCTCCTGTGTGTGACACACGAGGACAAACTGTTTAGCCTTCTTAACAACTGCGCCCACGTCCACCTCGGATCGTCTCCCTCGAGACGTGGTGGGCTGGGGGGTGGAGAGTGAAGCGGAGTAGGGACCGTTTAAGTCTGCGTCTCCAAGACCACAGTCGTGCCCAAATGGCTACCGTGGCGTTCGAGCCGTGGTGGATCTCGTGGCTACTGCGACGACGGTCGAACTGTCGTCTTGTGCTTACTTGCTCAGGATCTTTGCTAAACTGTTATTCCGTTGTTTATTTTTCTTATCTTTTTGCGATGACACACCTCCCATAATGGGATTGGCAGTAGAGGCCAGTTACTACCGACAGTCCGTACCAACTTAGTGCTATGGCTGAAGACGTTGCGTCCTCCCACCCAGCTGCGCGTCTTTTGGTGTGTGCCGTTGAGTGTACCTCTGCATCTGCTGTAGCATGACAGTATAACGCCACTCCAGTTACTTGCATTTATTCGCCATACTTAGACGACAAGAACCCCCTGAGGAGTTAGTGCCTGGCGCATCCACAGGCGGCGGATAGTTGGACAGTCTTCATTAAATAGTTGCCACCAAGTAAGCAGATTCTGGAATGTGAACCGTAATGCCTTCACGCCTCACTAGGCACTGATCTGGCAGATCGGTTTCCTGCAAAAAGGCCACGAACGTCGATGTTAGCCCTAACAGCAAATTCACATATTCTAATCCCTCACTTACGGGACCAAATCGAATTAGCATATCCCTTTCTCTTGAACATAAGTATGAAAAGAACGGTCCAACAAGCACTGTTCCGCCTTAATATCTTTTTCAACCTTAGAACAGGAGAGGCTTATGCGTTAACATCTCCCGGAAGCATCCATTGATATGGTACAAGCCTAGGCGCACTAGCGCCGCTGAGTATGTTCGTGGAGGCAAGACTGAAATGTAACCCCTCCCCCTCTCCTCGTGAAATCCATGACTACATGGTTGCCACTCATTTTCGTTGGGTAGATGTCTGCGTTTGGTTATCGACCTCGGAAATGGCACCTTGGAGAGTATTCCCACCACCTTTATTTCCCTGGATTATAGTGGTCCAACCGATGTTTGTCTATCTATACTGCATATAATGCAGTTGAAAGTAGATCCAGCTTGCTTATTTGTTTGGTAACAGCGTACTTCATAAAGCCATTGAACAGGAAGACGAGATAGCCTCGTACTGCAACATAATCGGTCTTTACACCTGTTGACATGGTACAACATTCAATCATAATGACATATGGTTATGGGGGGCAAGGTTCAATAATTTAACCGTTTAAGGCATAGGAGGAGGTGCATAGTATAGAAATGCGCGTCTTCACAGACATTATGAACAGTATGCATCACTGACGTTGGAGTGCTGTTGGAGGTTGTCACCTTCACGAGACACACTGTTGTATGGGATTTGGTTTCATGGGGGGGGGGAGGTTATACTTCAGTCTGGTTCTCGTAACTAGCCAATCTGACGGTTGTGTGAGTCATCGCTCTCCCACATGTATAAATCACTTCATTCGTGCCTGAAATTGCGGCTACCGTAGCAACGGCCCCGTCGCCGCCGCACCCCTCACGTCGATTATCTGTGCAGCCCTCATCGGCCCCTTTTTACGCATTCTCTTATCCGCTTTTTTTTTTAGCCTAACGAACTGGTGTACTTTGACGCAATTCGCGCTCCGTTACGATCCAGGGCCAAATGGCGCGCGACGCGCGTTTGGAAGCCAGATGACCACGACATCCTCCAGCATGTGCAGTCACCTAAACAGACCAGCGAGGACGACGATGTGACCGTAACCTGCCTGCCCTTCCTACTACCCTCAGGTCGTGCTCGCTGTGCCTCTGGAGGTTATAAGACCAGTGTCGAATCGATGCCCGCTGTGATGCACTACTCCTCTTCTTCCACCTCCAGGCCCAAGTTAGCCACGGGGCTGCGGCGTTGTCGGTCCCTGGAGCGTTTTTCATCTGCTCACACTGCCGTCTCGGCTGCGGCAGCTGTCAGCGCTCGTGCCGCAAAACAGTCAGATTTTGACCAGTTCAGCGCCCGCACTGACGCCCTCTACCTGAGTGATGAAGAAGACGAGGAGGAGGGCTTGCGTTTTGATGATCTGAAGATGTCCAGTGCGGCAAGCGACCTGAACGAATTTCTAACGCGCCGTCTCTTCGGCACCAGCAGCAACGGGACTTCGCCGGCCAGGCGACCGGGCAGTGTCCGCGGTTTCATCTCCATCGATGAGGACGAATTGCTTGCCTATGACTCTCTCAAACGTCCCATAAAACTGCTACACAATACCGGAGGTCTACTAGCGGACCTCGAATTCCCTGACTCGGACATTAGCTGGACACCGGATAGCCTGTCTCTTGTCAGCCCGGTCGTGCAGAGGGCGGCCGACCAGGGTACAGAGGTCAGCTTCTCTGCCAGCGTCTCCATCCGACCCACTCGAAACGCCGGCACGCAGACCTAATCACTCCGCTCCCTGTGCCCGACTTATTTCATGCGTGCGAGCGCGCGTTTCTGTGTATTTATTTTTGACCCGCTCATGCCACGTCCCCCCCCCCCCTCAGTTCTCCCCCTTCCCCCTTTATTTCTATCCGCTCTGTTCTGCTCTGTCGACGCAGCAGCGCCTGCTCAATCGTGTCTACTCCACGCTTAACCAGAGCCACCTCATGTACGAATAATTGTCGTTATCAGGCAGTTTTGCTTTCGCGCTTATGACTTATTATTTGCTGCCCAGCACCCCGCCCCCCCCCCCCCGCCAGATGCGACTCTCTTTCGCCCTTTGTAGGCCTGGTTGACTTCCACATCGCTGTCAAGTTTATTTCGAATTGCCAGATTCACTGAGTAAGCCTCTCACTCTCTCCCTGCGGTCGCTGCTCTCGTGGCCAGTTCGATTTTGTTCTTCTACACCCACCTCCTGCCCTCCATGTGATACCGAGGTTTCGTGACGGCTCCGGTGGGCCCACCGTCTTCTGCCTCTCCCCCCTTACTGCCTGCCCCCCGCACCACCACCACCAGCCGTCCTATCATGTCGGCGTTGACGTCAGTTTGATCTCCGAATTATCTCGCTTTTCGCACTCTTTCCCGTCTCCTTGCCTTTCTTATTGATTTCATTTGGTAAAGCGCTAATAGCAAAATTTGCTCTCCCCTCCATGAGACTGCTGTTTCGTAGAGCGTTGGTACCTGAGGGCGAAGGATCCCGTCTGCCACAATCGAGTCTGGTGTCTTGTGATTCGTCCTGCAGATGGTGACGCCCACTGTATTACGTTAATAACAGGTAGGGTGAGCGATAAGGAGATCTGAGATGTCTATTTCGGACGTATGTTCCCCAGCCAGCTCGACCTGAGGCCGGTAATATCCGGAGTTGGAACCTGACTCCACTTGGGCATCTTATCGTTTGAGCTGCGGACTCTCGCTCTGTCCGCTGCGATCGAGATTGCTCAGGGTTTTGGCAACCCTATCGTCCCAGGTCTTCTACAGCGCGCCTTTCCGCCCCCCAGCAGTCAGTCTGCGTGACTGGCTGACCAATGGCGGCCTGAATTAGCCATCTGTAGCTGCGCCACAGAGGAGGAGGAGTTAAGTCGTCGCCTGGTTTCACTGTACAGAGCCGACAGGCAAGTGGTGGCGTCCGCTTTGTGCGCAGTTGTTGCCCGTGCACCTTCCTCACCTCTGGCCGGCTGCTCTGGCTCATCATGGAAAATGACTAAGCCGCCTGGCTGGTGGACGGAAGGGGATAGTGGCGGACTGCCAGCTCAGCTGATTGGGATGAATGGGAAATTTCTGTGGAGTTAGAGGTAAATTCACTCAAAATCCCCCGGCGTCCACGATCGCACCCCCAAGGGTGAGCTTTTGTTCCCTACACAATTTTAGCAATGGAGAACTTCATGTCCTGCACTGAATAGTTTCTGAAAGTACTCACTTGATATAGTTAGTACCTATGTCGGGAGTACGGTATAGTACGTTTGCCATATACATTTCATACTACTCGTAGTACTAATTGTTTGTAGAATGGACATTACGTGGTTAGTCCACAGTAGTTTGAAATGGTGGGGCTGTAGTGATACTACTCCAAACGTGCCTACCTCAACACTGGGCCTCTCGCGAGTGTCTGCACGTGCGCCCCATGGCTTTCTGGCATTCTTCCACTCGGCTCTCCAATTGGCCAATCAGGCTCAAGGTCGAGTCAGGCGTGTACTGGCTTAAGACGCTGTGACGCGTTGCATCGGACACTTGGGACGCCGCTCACCCGGCGCCGGACGCGCCCACGTTTGTCTGCGAACTACCTCCAACTACTCCACTTAATCTGTGCAGAATATATCATCCTCCTCACTGTCGTCCGCCTTCTCTGTCCGTCCGGGACCGGGCCAGAAGCTCATGGTAGCCAGGTTCACACGCTCGGCCTAGCCTGCCGCGATATTGGTGACCCCGACGTGATGTTACCACGCAACCGCACAATCATCACGAATTCCCCTCTTGGCCTCAGCCCAATTCTCCTGCGTCATTCAATTTGACCACGATATGGAGAATTCAGTTAACGACATCCTTTCGTGAGGCGAACCGGGTGCCATCAAGCAACCTCAGCCTATCGAATCCAAGCCATGGTTCTGATCCCATCCAACAGAGCAGCCCTGCAATCAGCGCCA